GTAGTTTAATATTGCAAGTTTTCACACTCCTGTAAATTATGCAGCTAATTTGTGCAATTGAGTTTCATAATGAATGTTGTAGGATTTGTCTGAAAAGAAGAGTTAGCATAGCTGTAGCTATTTTCATGTGAAAGAAACTTAATCTTGTATTCCCAAGTTAATGGAATTAATTTCTGGTGCTTCCAGTAGTTAGGACTGTCATTTATAGGTTTCTTTTCTCTTTGCGGTAGCAACTCCTTAAAAAAGATGCAGAAAGGGGAACTTGAAATGAAGCATGTGGGAAATGACCCTTTTAAAGAATTGTTGCTTCACAAAATGCTAGGAACATATAATTAGATGACATCCTTCATTATTAGTTATGTGTTGATTTTCATATTTAAACTGTGGAAAACTATCTTACCCTTAGTGATGGTCTGTTTTTAGCTTCTTTGTAACTAGAGCTGACCATATATTGCATTTTCAATAGGAAAAAAAAACTCAGTTTCTGAATTTCTATTTTTCTAACAATAATGGGAAACTATATACTAAACTAGTTGATGTACACAGGAGTGTGTGTTTTTTTTTCCTTGTTTTGTTTTTTATCTTCCAGTTTTACAAATCTGTAGTTTTCTGATGGGAAAAAATGGGCATGTTTGTTAAGCAGTGCTATAACAGGAACTGGGGTGCGAGAGGAGAATGAAAAGCGTGAAAGGCTGCAGGTAGCTTCAGTGCTGAAGGAGGAGCAGAACAAGCTCATCCGTGGGGGCAATATAATATCTGTACAAAATAAAAGTATGCCGTTACTTCCAGAAAATACTGAACTGTGCAAGTGGGGCTTTCTAAATTTTCATTCGTCTTAAGTTAACTTGATTGAATCAGCCCTGAAAATATTCTACTTCAGTAATTGTCAACTTATTCTTTTCAGTGCTTCGAATAACTAATTCAGCCGAGATATTTATAGCTTCTCCATTTATATGTTTTTTTTAATTTACATTTTGTCTTAGCTTTTGAAACATATCCTCTTGCCACCTACCCTGAGGTGTAGCACATATAAGAGAATCTGGCAAAAAAGGGAGGTCTACTCAGGCATATGAACCTTAAGATATAGTTACGGCTGGAAAGATATGAATGAAATACACCCAGTCAGTAAAGTCAGAATTATACTCACTCAGTAACGCTCCTTGAAAGCAATTTGGAAGGATAAGTCATGCAATGTATTAACATTCTTAGCTGGGATTTTCAAAATGATCAGTACAAACCCCACAGGGTTGTCTAGGATTTTTACCCAACTTCTTTATCTATTTCAGAAAATATCATCTTCAGCTAAGCTGCTGGTTAAAGTTGCAAATGAAAATAATTCTGTAATTTGCTAGAGGTGAGAGGCTGATATAATCAGGAGTGACACAGAAAATCTGAATAGCAATCAAAAGCCCATTTCCTCTCCCAAAAGGAAGTGAATGATGCTAATGAAACTAGTAGATTTTAAACAAGAGAGGTTGGGTATTTTTTTCCACAGAACTTGAACATTTTGATGGAGAATATTGTAGATAATTGATGTTTTTGCAAATGCCAAGGGAGACGGGGAAAGTCCATGGAAGAAACGTTCTTTGAATGTTGCCGACTCCCCACCACCGCTGAGTTTGTAGGTTAGGTGAGTGTTTGGAGTCTGCTCCACTACAGCTGTTTGTATCTTCCTGAATTCTTTTTCAGTCTTTGCATTTTAAGGAATGAAGTTACTTTGTTAAGAAATTAAAATTTGGGTATTGATTCTAGTTCAGGATTTCTAGCTGCCCTGAAGTATTAAAGACACTTATGTCCTTGGAACAGAATGCAAGATGAAATTAGCTACATCTGAAAGCTAGAAAATCAAATTTCAAGTCAAATGTAAAAGCAGTATAAAGTCAAATATGCCCTTTTTAGTGAACTTCTTTAAATAGAGTTTTGAGTCAGTGACAACATGCACGTGGGTATACTTGTGCATGTATCTAGAGCTCCCTTGACCCTGGAAGGTTTCTAAATAGGTTCAAAAGTCAGATCTCAAGCTCAGGGGATTATCTGAGCAGGACTTTTAAAGCAGACACTCCCCTTAGATAGCAGTTAGGTCTGTTTTATTTTTCTCAGCATGGTATGCAGGCAGTCAGTGAGGTACTGCATTATAGTATGTTCTATGCATTGCAATAGCTAAAATACCAAACAGCTAAAATACCAATTTTAATGAAAATATTCATGAAAATGTAAACTATTTAACTTGCTTCCTACAGACAAGATATTTGCTCCCAACAGTTCATCTTCTGAATGTTTCTCTCAGTGACTGTCTTGAACAGAGGCGCGCTCATGCAGTTTTGGAGTGTTGTCACAGGTGACTGCCAAATACTACAGCGAAGCATGGTTAATCCTGGCACCTGTCTCATAGATTACTTGATTATAAAATCATTTTAATTTGGGGGTGTTAGCAGTCATATATTAGACCATTGTAGCTATCCTGTGTACTTTTGTGTAACTGCACAGTGAGTCTTGATGAACAGAGCTCTGTGAAAATGCTGTGACTAGTTTTTGGTACTACATTAACTACATTTTCACTATTTTTGTGATAAAAGGGCAGTGCCTGCACTTTGTAGATGAGGAAATCAGAGTACAAAGATTCCTTTTGAACTAAGGAGGACCTAATTTACAGGGCAGCTCCCATATACATCTTTTTCTACTTATTCTGCATCTAAGGCAGTGATTTTTCTTAGGGGCAGTTTCATAATCTCGAAGCAGTTTTCCTTTACTTGGGTGAGGCTGCAGGGACATTGCTCATGCAATGCAGAGGCGTGATTAAACAAGTTGTCACCCAACCAATTAACAGCTTTGCCGTGCTCAGGAAGGGAAGTACTGCTGAAACGTAGCCCAGCAGCGAGATAAAGAGCTTGATCCCAAAAGGGCTTTGGAGGAAGCAAGAGGAGTCACTCAACTTCAAAACAGAATTCTGCACGATGTTTTTGAACTTCAGTTTTTTACAGTTTTTTTAACGGAAAACTTGTTTAGCATTTGTACTCGCAATGTTTTTTCCTACATTTTTTTTCTGAAATCAGAGATATATCAGAAGAACTTAGGATTCCCTGCTAAAATCATTGTTTGTTTTTTAGGTATTAGACATTTAAGTCTATGCCACCTTTGTAGTATAGTTCAAACTACTTGCATTTTTCTTTCATAAGTTGGGTAGAGGTGGTTTTTTTGTTTGTTTGTTTTTTAAAAAAAATTAACAGCACTGTTAACCTATCAGCATGAAATCCTAACAGCGTTTGCAAGCAGCTCATTTTTTTCAGTAGATGTTAAGACCTAATTAAGTTCTAATAATTAAAATCTTTACAAAGAGAGGTAAGCCCAATCAGATAGTATAACATATACTCTGATATCCCAATGTATGTTTTCTCCAAATTGATTCATACTTCTGCATTACTTGAAGTAAAAGTGCTTCATGTAGTAGTAGTGGTGATGGTAGCAGTAGATCTGTCACAACTGAGTACCTTGGATCTGAAATGCAGATTGATTTGGTTTCTGTTCTTGTTTTGATACCATTATAAGTTAGGTGTGGGGAAGCAACAGTTACATACTTGATATTTTTACCTTTTAAATAGCTACGTAGTTTTACAGTGGTTTTTAATTGTGAAGAAAATACACCCTGTATTCCAATAGCCTAAATATATATATATAAAATATGTATAAAAGGACAATTTTAAATACTCTGCGGTATTATATTCCTGTTTGTAACAGTGATATATGCAGATTTTGCTTTTTACAGTTTTGAATTTTCAAAATGTCTTTGTCAATTCTTTTGGCAACTAGCCTCAAGTACATTGTTTCTACACTTTCTAATGTTTGAGAAACTTACATTTGAAATTGCAAATGCTAAGGATAAGAATCAAAACACTTCAGTGACACAACTCTTCAGAGGTTCACTCTAAAATTACCAGTTGTTGCAGGCTTTTTTTTTTTTTTTTTTTTTTTTTTTTTTTTTTTTTTAAAGAGAAGTATTTTATGTCCTGCAAACCTATATACTCTGATGCACAGGCCTACTGCTAGCTAACAAAAAGTTGTAGTTTTTCACTGAGAAACTACTACTTTGCAGTCCCATTGTCTTCCTTGGAGGACGTTATTTTACTTCTGTTGAGTTTAAGAGCATCTCACAAAAGAGTTTAATGGAGTGGGGCAGCACCCCCAGCGCTAACTTCAGAGGTTATTTTGTGATAATTACCCAGACACCTGAGACCGATGAGAAGAAAAACCAGTTTTTCACAGTTGTTGCAGGCGCTCTAACCTGCAAGAAGGTTTAATTTCTTTATGGGCAAGGCTTGTGGCGAGAGCCCCTGTCTTATCAGATAAGCAGGACAAACCCCCTTCGGCCCTTACTTTTTTCCCCCAGCTTTGAAGTGGGAACTGCCTCAGGGGAAGGGCCCAGGAAGCCGCGCGCTCCTCCCTGCGAGGCAGAGGGATGCGGTGCCAGGGGGTGATCCGTGGCTCGCCCAGCACAGCGTGTGGCACAAGGGAAGTGCTCCCCGTGGGTCAAATCCCATAAACGTGATGGCTGCCAAAATAGAGGAGGACGCGGGAGTGAAAGAGCAGGAGAGGAGGGAGCAGCTGCCTGGCCAGAGCACCCGTGCGGGGCTGTTCTCCACGACTGGGGCCTGCACAGCCAGGGTGCAGCCGGAGGTGCCCTCGTCCTCAGCTGTGTGGAAAGCAGTACAATTACTAAAGATGCGTATTTAACTTCGGAAAAAAGAGCTTGGTTTTTATTTGGTTTTGACGTGACAAATACTGTGGACTGCAGCAACCTAAGCAAAAACCAAAGGTTTGCTGTTTTTGGCATGCAGCCAGCCAAAGACATTTGACAGGATTTTTTACATCATTTTTTCTGTATACTATTATATATACTATTAACGCCTTTACAACTGCTATTTACAGTTTTATCATACATTTTTCTGATGTGTAGAAAGAGTAACATTTACATATGAGAATCTGTTTTCACAGCTGAGGAAATGTGCTGGCTTTAAATTCCAGTTTAGTCCCCACAAGTTCTTTTATTTTGTCCAGTTTATATCGTTGAGTCACTGTCAAATATTTTCATTTTTATGGTCTGAAGGCTGTGCTGAATGAAGTTTTCCGAAACGTGCATTTCAGAGAATCTGGTATCTCCTGTCCTAGTGGACCTGCTCTTTTTGATCGAGTTTTGTATCGTGTCTGATGTAAAGTAGTACACGATAGGGTCAAAGCAGCAGTTGGAAACAGCAATGCACAGAGTGATAGGATACATGGTCCTGACTGCAGTTGCTACTGAGCAGTTAATCAAGGTCTGTGTTCTCATAAGGGAGTAGAGTATTAAGGTAATGTTATAGGGCACAAAACAGAAGCAGAATATCAGCAAATGGACAACAATCATTTTAAGTACCTTTTTCTTGCTTAATTTATTCCGACTTAATGTAAGTGGCTTATTCAAAGTCCGCAAGACCATGGTGGAGCAGGTCACGTTCAAGATCAGCGGGATGAAAAACCCAACAATCTCAATGAAGATAACAATCCTGGATAGGTAGGTTTTCCACGTGGCCTCTGAAAAGTTTTCGAAACACGTTCTTTGTTCGGTGTTATTACGGCGATTTGTAGACTGAAAAAAGCTCGCCGGCGTGCTTCCTGCTAGCACGGTTATCCACACTGCAGCACAGACAATTTTTGCATTTCTTTTGGTTCGAAGTGTCTTAGACTGAAAGGGGTGAACTATGGCCAGAAAGCGGTCGACGCTTATGCACGTCAAAAATAAAATGCTTCCGTACATGTTTGTATAAAACAGCGTGACAGAAATCTTGCAGAGAATGTCTCCAAAGGGCCAGTTTCTTACTGCGAAGTAATAAATCCTGAAGGGTAATGTAAACACAAAAAGCAGATCAGATATTGCTAAATTAAGCATGTAAGTTGTAGTCTCATTTCGCACTTTTAATGTAAATGTAAAAATGTAGATGGCAACACAGTTTGCTATGAGGCCAAGAACAAACACCATGCTAAATACACATCCATATAAAGTATATTTAAAGGAGTCCTCAGTGGAACAGTTAGAGCTTACCATTATAATAGTCTGTTAAAAATACAACTCTGAGTTCCTGTGATTTGTCCTTTTCTCTGGTATTTTTGTTGTAACTTTTTTAAATTCCCAAAAGATGTGCAGATGTGTTTGGCTGCTGTGCTTTGATAATTCTCTGCTTCACTTTCAAGCTTCAGAGAAGAAACACAAGCTGTGTTGTAGCAAGGTACCTCTCCAGTAATCACCAAGAGATCGTTCTTTTCTCCCAGATGCTACTGTAATCACATAGCCAGGCTTGGAAAATAAAAAACACATTATTTGTAGCCGATGAGGTAATTCCAAAGCATATTTTTCCTTCCTCAATTTGAAGCACTAGTAGAACTTTCTGCCTTATTCTTGCCCATGAATCATGGTGCCTAGAGGTCTCCACCATCCAAAGCCGTTCAAGTAACCGGGAACGGGTGCGTTAGGAAACGATTTCCCAGACTCGGTGAGATGCAGGCGCTTCCATTGTGCTCCCAGCCTCCTCGCTGCAAAACGAGCTCTTCAACTCTGCTCCCTGCTCACCCCACGGGGCGGAAAGCCCAGGAATAAAATTCCAGAGCGTGTTTGCTCTTGCAGTGTGCAGCCCTGCTCCTCGAGCGCTGACGGTGGACGAGCGAGCGTGGAGGCTCATTCTGAAGCGCCGCAGAAAAGCACTCCCTCAATTTGTACCATGACATCACGGGAGGAGAGGTTGGACTTTGCTGAAGAATGGTTTCAATTCCGTTTGTTTGCCTTCCTAATCTGATAATGTGTCTGCTGGGACTATATACCTTGCAGGCGTGCAAATGGTCACCAGCAGCCCTGCTGCTGCCTCCTGTTAACTCTTTCTGTGCTGGTTGGAGGTGCTGCTTGTGGGCATTGCTTTTACTGGAGTCTGCCAGTTTCATGGCAATATCCTTTCTGACACTTTGATGTCTGAATAGCTTGCACATCTAAATTCTCTTCTTTTTGAATAATAACTACAGATTTTTGTATTTTACATTTGATTTTTATCTTACATTACAGCTTAGGAAAAAGATATCTTCACTTGTAATAGAGAGCACGTATTAAGCACCAGAAATTACCTAGGTAGCTCTGCCTTCATTCCCTCAGTACACTAATGCGTACCTTATGGGGGACAGTTCAACACAAATTATTTCTGATGAAATTGCCCCATTTACTCAATGGGAGAGGCAAAAATGTTTTGAACCTGTAGGTGGCTCTGGGCTATTCCCAGAATTGAGATACATGGCACTGGAAGATGAAATTTTGCGTGTGTTTAGTGTTAGCAATTAGTACCTCAGAGTCTTTCTAGTCAGTTAGACAGTACTATTTGCATAATGTTTCAACTTCGTTTTTCAAATTTTGTAGTAGAAAAAGCATTTTATTTAATTTAGAAAGCACAAAGTGAGCATAACTTACCAAAATAAATACTACACTAAGCAACTGGCTCTGATAATTTAAAGAAGCCAGTTATTGCAGATGTACAAAATATTTCCATTAGTCACTGATTAGTGCAATGAAAACGTTGTAACTAATTAAATTGTTAAGTAAATATAGAAGGAAAAAAAAAAGGAGCTGTTGCTCTCTTTAGGGGAAGGCATGAGGTAAATCTCAGTTTATACAAACTCATTTATTTAGCATTGACTTGGATAGGTTCATTTACTTCTGGCACTAAAACCAGTATATTTCAAAGTCTTAGAATAACAAATGTCTTTATATCTGGCTGGGTGGCAGGGTTCTTTTGAACTAGATTTTAATCAGTTGTACATAAGCAAGGCTCTGTTAGGTAGAAATTTTCTAGCCCTTCATAGGGTTTTGGCATAGTTTCATAATGTAAGATGTGTCAAATAGAATTCAGGAACATGTAAGAATGGGAATTTCATCTGGGAAGTCCTTTCAACTGCTTTTTAAGGTGAAATCAAGATGTTTCATTTTTGTTTAGAAGGCCTGCAAGAACTGCAAGAAATATGTAGGTTTTGAGATTATAGTTGAAATATGTACTAAAGCAAAGCCTATTTGCCATTTTTCAGTCAGCAAGACATGAAAACATGAGCTTGGCAGACTGTCTCATGTCTAACATATCATATTACATGTATATAAAATCTATATGTAATCTATGCTCCTGCTGCCTGGCTGAGCTTGGGGCTCTCTACAGCCCTTGCAGCTTTGCAGTGGGCTTTCAGTTTGTCCAGAACTATCTAAGTCACTGCCACCTCCTACTTTCAGTCCAAGAAATAGCAGATTTTTATATAATTCTAGAAGTAGCATTCAACAGCAGGGCGTTTTCCACCTGCAGAAGAAAAATATGAAAAGCCCAAGTTGACAGGCTTTAATTTCATATTGTATTTCAGTGGTTAGTTAGACTCATTTTTTTCTCTTAATTGTTGGAGCTTGTAGGCAAAGGAGAATTGCAGCCCCTTTTTCTGAGATTAGATTAGGCTGATAGTAGTTAAGTACTGCTTTAATTTGCATGCTAGTGTGGTTGTTTACTTCTGTGTGCTGAAGTAGTATCTGAATTAGCAGCTCAGGAACGGCTGAAGTCTTTAGGAGCTGTCGTTTTTGGCAAAGTTCCCATACTAGCTAGGAGGGAAACTGCACACTTCGCTTTTAGTAGCTCAAGCTTTAAGATGTTGGGCTCTGTGCTGTCGGATTTGGAAGACCTCAGATAAGCCCTAGCGCTCCTTAAAAACGTTTCTCTATGGGCTACTTTGGGGGGAGAATTCCTGCAGCAATGACCTTGCCTATACTTCTTCCCTGCTGGCGGATTTTCCTTTGGCACCTGGGGGCAGGAGGAAACAGCTGCTGGGAAGGCAGAGTGTGTGTTTATAGGTTTTGTTCTCTCAAGGATGTGGTGCTGCCACCCAAGGGAAATGCGTGTGAAAGTCTGCCCTTTTTCCTCCAATTCGAGGCAGTGATGAGTCAGCAGCAGTGCAGAAGCACCGAAGGGTTGGTCAAGTCTGGAGTCCACCTGGTCCAAGCCCCCTGCTCCAGCGGGGACACCCAGAGCATGTGGCCCAGAGTGGCCTCCAGGTGGGTTTGGAAGATCTCCAGAGAAGGAGACTCTACAGCTTCCCTGGGCAGCCTGAGTTTTTCTTCATGTTCAAATGGAGCTTCCTGTGCTTCCATTTGTGGCCGTTGCCTCTTGTTCTGTTGCTGGCCACTGCTCAAAATAGTCTGGCCCCAGAACCGATCTTTTTACCACTAGTGCTAGATTAGCAATAACTGCCATTTCCATCAGCCAGTTTCGTCTTCTACTTAGAGGCAGCGAGGGCAGAGTGAGAGCACATGAAATGCCTGAAGTCCTCTCACTTCTGCACATTTTGCACGTTTCTGGTGCTTAGCACATATTTCAGCTTATAGGACTTGAGATATCATAGTTTAGATGCTTAGGACTCCTTGCATTCTCCGGGATCTTGGGTTGGAGCAGAGGGTCAGGAGGGGAGCGCTTTATGATCCCAGCAGCTTTTGCTGGTAGAGCAGCCCTGTGTCTGTCTGCCAGAACAGCAGCTGCTGCAGCTGTTGGGTCCTTCTCGCTCCCAGATGTCACAGACCTGGCTGCTGCCTCTCAGATAGGGCACTGGGGCAAGACCCCTTAAATTCAGCAGTCCAAGTTAAGTACTAAGGAAATACAGCAGTAAAACAGGTATTTGAGGGCTTTCCGTATTTCAGGGTTCTTCTGGCTGCTGTTGCATGTTTCTCTGCTGCTGTTCTGATTTTCAGTGCTGTGATCATAGAGAGATTGTAGTGAGAGACGATGTGAATTTTGAACTTGAGAAAAATATCAGTTTTGGTTCTAAGACTTCACGACAGCCCCGTTATTGCAGCACTTCTATGGAAGCTGGAGCAGGCGCCGCTGCAAATGAGGATACCAGGGACACGCGGGGCCTTGTGGTCTGCAGCTCCGCTGCAGTGAGGACAAACCCTGGCAGGACAATATTTTCCTTTCCCGAGTTTGTTTATCATTTATTTAATCCTTTTCACAGGCTAGGGTTGGCTTCTGAGGTATTTTTACTTCAGCTGAACTCTGGAGTTTTTGTTTTGGTGAGTGTGTTTGCAGGAAGGAATTTATTATGGCTCTGCCACAGATTTCCTGTTGCAACTTTGGTTAAATTTTCTACAGTTTTGTGTGTGTGTGCATGTGTTTTCCTGCTGTGTAAAAGTTTGTTCGCTTCCTCGCTGGGATGTGAGGCCATTCTCATTGTTAAAAACAATTAGAGGTCCTTGGAAGGAAGAAGACTCTCAAATTAAATATTGGGGTAATTACAATGCCTGGTGAATAGGATATATATTTCAGAAGATAAAAATTCTTTTTGTTTTTTAAGCTAGATTTCTGCCAAGAAAAAGGATCTCTTAAAAAGTTTCCCTTTAACTGGCTAATTATATGGGGAAGTAGCTACGGAGAAAGCAGGAATAGGAACTTTTACCTTCTCCACTCCCATTCAGTAACTGCCCCTTGAGACTTTTCATAAGTTGCTGTAAAACTGCTTCTGGTGAGTGACCGACTCTGTTCTTGAAGTGCAGTATCTGCCCCCTTACACACACAGTGCAGAGTACTGGGTATGCTGAAAATTCATGTTCTTACTCCCTTAACAACTCTCTGATGTAGACATGTCTTAAATTGGGCATTGGGGGAGTTTCATGGTGAACAGGCTCTTTTTGTCTAGCAATTCATGTTTAAAAGGGAAGCTGGAAGACTGCACAGGAGTAGAAGACTCTTTGGTGTCAGGGAACTTGTTAGCTTCATGTTTTGGTATGAAATAAAATTGCACTTGCATGTGTAAATTAGAAGAAAGCTACAAATATCTTCTGCATAATGATAGTTTTAACTCTCCTTCTATAAACTGCCTTTCTTGATATATTTTTTTTTCAAGCTATATGCCAGTGCATAGATGCCAAAACTCTTTCAAATGTCTTTTTTTTTTTAACATTGGAAGCTGAAGTATTGGTGCTGCAAGTTTGTGGTTTTTTTTTTACATTTTCTAAGCTAAAATAACTTCTTTGTATGTGTAATTGCTTAAAAAAAGGAAGAGGGAAGTTCCAGATAAAATGGGAAAGTT